ACAGGCCATAAATGGTATTCGCCGGGAGACAGTACAGAGCTTCGTCTGCCTCGGAAGACTTGAATCACAATAGTTTCACTATTGCCATTGCAGCAAGTTACTTGAATTCGTACCTGAGTACTCTTCACAGGCCCCTTAACTCCACTCAGCTAATACCTTTGTGCCTATGGACAAACTCAATGGAAGCTGCACGTTTTATTTTTGTATACCCGTTTTAGGAGCTAGTTTGAGCAAGCTGATGCAACGAAAACAATAACTAACAATAGAACTAACAAATTTTCGACTTAGAATTATTTGCGTGTATTTTTACAAGTCAAACACTTTTTACGAGTATATTAAAATTGTCTACTAGAAAATAACGGGACTTTCCATTGTTTGTCAGCCTTTTCTTTTTGCCAATTAAATAAACCTCGTCAGCAATCATGGCTGTCTGCGCAAAGGTATTGTCAGATGAAGTTATGCGAAAATTAAGTAACTTATTACTAAAATAATCACTTCTAAGCATTTTTATGCTTTTTCGCCAAAATATGTATTTTGTGTCATAATATGCATTTGCATATTTTTGTCTTCCCTATTTATAACCCTCGTATTTTCCATCAGAATGTGGTGTTTCATTAACGCGAGTTTTCAACCGAAGCTTAGCATCCTTCGTTGGTAGAATAAAAAGAATGGTCCTAGATTTTCGTAGGTTACTTTGCAGTCAAGTTAAAAAAATAGAAGAGAAGAAGAGAGAGAATAGAACACACACACATAGGGAAATGTTTTGAGATGGGGACATTTTGCACTACCAAGTCCTGTTTCTATACCTTCGTGAATACTATCTACTCATATGTATGTGTAATTCGCAGTAAATTAGTATTTATGTATAACCAAACTAACTTTTTAAATGCCGAATTTACTCGCAAAAATTGAGAAAAGCAGGTAATTTCTAGTGCAACTCGAATAAAATCAAATTTTTTATTGAGGTACTACTTCTTGAGCGATTGCGGGTTTTCAGACGTGCCAATTACAACTGTAACTGAATTTCGCGTATTTTATGAAAATCGTGAATTTTCTTGTGATAGTCGTTGAGGCTACTTATTTTCCTAATGAAATTTCGCCAGTGTGGTGCCATTTTGCCCAACATAAAAATTGGATAGGTTTTCTCTCGATTAGACAAAGGCGCGTGGCATCTCCCATACAAGCAGAATTTTTCATACTGCATACCTCTGGAAGTATTTGCGGTAGACTACTGGAACTTGGTATCGAGATATACGAAATTAAAACTATACTCATGAAAACAAGTAAAGAAGTATAAATTCGGGCGAAACCGAACTTTATATACCCGGCGCATGTATTAAATATCGATTTCTCACCTTTCAGTAAACTGCATGATAAGCAAGAGTATTTTTCCCGATATCGAAACAGTTTCGATAATATGCTATGATAGATTGAAATAATTGGACCAAGTTTGTTGGAAATCGATAAGGCGCCTATCGATATACACTTATGTATGTAGTCATAAGTGGTGGTGCCACGCCCATTTTACAAACATCAATATTCTTGTGTCTTGTTAAGAGATTGTTGTAAGTTGGGGTCTTTAGTAATTGAAATATCGGAGTTTTCGTAATTCTGAAATTTACCGTTAAATGGTAAGTGGCGGTAATTTTATTCCGATTTCAAAAATTTTCAACATATTGCTTTTTTTGCCCCAAGTGTGAAAAACGTGCCGAGTTTGATAGAAATTGATAAACCGGGTACCGAGCTACACATATGTAGGCGTAAGTGGGCGGTGCCACACCCATTTTCCAAGAATTTCCCTATATATCATTTTCTGCCAATAGGTCATTGCATATATCGATTTTGAGTAAATTAGCTTAAATAGTTACTAATTTATCACAGTTTTCGTATTTCTGTAAATTACCGTTGTATGGGAGGTGGGCGTGGTTATAATCTGATTTCAAAAATGTTCAACGGGTTTCTTAGTGAGGCTCTAAGCAATGTTCGCACCGAGTTTGGTGGGGATTGATGAAGGGGCTACAGATATATAACATTTCATTATAAGTGGGCGGTGCCTCGCCCATTTTCCAAAAATTTCACAATTGTCTTACTTTACGCCAAAATTCTACTTTGAAAACCAACTTTAAACAGTTTTGATCCCGTATTTGTGAAAATATTGTAGTTTTTGCATATATCGAAAATACCGTTATATGGGAGGTGGGCGTGGTTATTGTCCGATTTTACACATTTTCAATCTCAACCTTTCTTGGATAAAGGGCAACCTATTTGGTTGACACATCTCAATTTTTTCTGGAGTTATCGTGTACAGGCACAGACGGACGGACGGCCAGGCATGGCTTAATCGATTTCTCTTTTCATTCTGATCATTTATGTATGTATACATTTGTCTATATCTATCTGGATCCGTTTTGCCTATTACAAAGAACCGTTATGCGAACAAAGTTATAATAAATACCCTTGTGCACAAGTGCGCTCGGGTGTAACAAGTACCCATCAGAAATTTGGTTAGTTGCTGTGAGGGCCTAAGTAATAGCATAGCGCCGCACCTTTTGTTGTTTTCGCGGAAGTTAGTGAGATCAATTTGTTCGTTCTTCCCATGCCAAAATCCATATTCGTTAGCGAAAGTCAGTTTCAGAGTTCTCGGCGCAGCATGATGGCCGGGTAGAGATTTCCGACGAAGATCGGGTCTACGAAACGACCCAGGTTTAAATCTGGCTAAGGACCGCTGCTTCAGCAACATTTCCTGAAGCTGTTTGGAAAATTCTTATGCTGAAACAACAAGAACAGTAGAGATTTCATTCGGTTACCTTGCCTAGTCGAAAGCGAAGAGATGCGCGAGCTTTTTGGGCCGACCATTTACAGTGACGAGCAAAACTGTAACATGGTGTAACACTTTTTATTTCAGCCACCGCTATATTTCCAAGTTCTATCGACTTTCATCCTTTTGTTGTATATTCTTGTTGGTACATCCCTACTCCCTCTCTCATAACGATTTGAAGTCAATACAACAACAATAAAAAAACCAGCAGCCAAAAATGTAAATTAAGGCTGATGTTACAGTTTTGAACTCACTCTCAGTTTTGCATTTGACAGTTTTCTCTTACTTAGTTGGAAGTCAGATGACTTTTTTCTGTATTGTAATTTATTGAAGAAGTGATCACTAGTAAACAACATAGTTAATCAGGAACCATAAATGTAAATATTAGATTTACTGCAGAAAGGCAGGACAGCACGAAAAGTGGTAAAAAATTGTGGAATTTGCTACTTGAAAATGTTAACACTGAGAAAAATTTTGCCTAAAGTGTTCCCAAGGACAAAGGAAGTCTGTCAAAAAATATAAGGGTACGACATCTTGTGAACTTAGCAGCAAATAGCGATGCAGGCACTATTACAGAAGCGCTTAAGGTATTAAACTTTAACGCAAATCAATAGACAGCGAGGTGAAGAATTGCCAAATTGGGCGCAAAAATCATAAAGAAGAAAAAAGCAAATTTGATCAAAATACATGTGCGAGTGTGGTAGCGTTTTGCTGCATCGCACGAAAACCGAACCGTTGCCTATTGGGATATGTGAGGCCGTTCAGAATGCAATAGAAAACATATTTTTAAGTTTCAATTGAAGGTTATTTGGTCTGACAAGACTAAATTAATCGCTTTCATTCAAATGACCAGGCCTGGTTTTGGATCAAAGACCCAAATTAAGCCCATGCGCAGCATGTAAGGCAAACTGTGAATAACAGTGGTCGGTCAATAATAGTTTGGGGTTGTATTTAAAAAATTTTGTTTGTCCGTTAGTACACATTATGCGTAAGGAACAGTATCTGTTCATATTTCAACAAAATTTACAAGATGTAGTCGAAAAAATTAGAGTTTCTGCTGAAAAATCACTCAAAACACACTGCACATGTTCGCAAAGCCAGGATACAAAACCAAAAATTTGCTAATTTGAAATGACCTCCGCAACCCGCGGACAAGAATCTCATCGAAAATTTGCGAAATCAACTAAAAGCATAGCTTAGTAAGTATCAAAGTCCGTAAAATCGAGTACATGAGCTGTGAAAGCAAATTAAGGGTATATGGGAGGATATACCACCAGAATTTTTACAGAGATACAAATAAGGTATGCCAAATCGCATCCAGGAACTGAAACAAGCAAAAGGGTACTGAACATTGTGTTAGTAGTTCTTTTTTTACGTGAAAATGGTTAAAAAGTTCTTAAAAATATATGAGTGCAAAACTGTAACATCTGTCTTAATTTACATTTTTGTCTGCTGGTTTTTTTATTGTTGTTGTATTGACTTCAAATCGATATGAGAGAGGGAGTAGGGATGTACCAACAAGAATATGCAACAAAAGTATGAAAGTCGTTAGAACTTGGAAAGATAGCGATGGCTGAATTAAAAAGTGTTACACCATGTTACAGTTTTGCCCGTCACTGTATATGTATGTACTACACTTGTGTGGTTTTGGTTAGGCCCATGATTAATAGTGATGTTTGTGGCGTTAAGTTACAATGGTGCTGCGTAAAGGACGGCGATAACAAAGCCCTAACTGTCTAAAAAAAGATACTTCCTTAAGTTAGATGATTTCCCCGAGTTCTACACTTTTAGTGTGATTTGTAATGGCGACAACCTTTATGAAATAGTGCGTTAGTATCTCTCCCATCTGTCCCCATCACTAGACAGTGTAGACTTGGTATCAAGTGTCTTCTTCTTGCTGCTTTTAAATTTACATAAAAGCTAAAATAAGCTTGGCAATCTTTTGAAATGAATACTAAATGCGTTCACTGCATTTTTTCATAGGGTGGTTGGATCGCCTGCGCTTAATCGCTGTTAGCGGGGGTAGCTAGTATGTGTGCGTGTGTGTGTGTGTGTGAAAGCGCCTGAGTGGACGAATGCGAGGCAAAAGCGAAATGACGAAAAAGATTGATTTTTCCTGCGCTAAGTTGTGCTATTGCGTGTACTGGGTACTCACTGTGTTAACAACAAATGAGAGATGACGACGTCGTCGACCGAGCGCTGCTGAACTGCGACGATGTCGACCGTAAGCCAAGCGAAAACTTACAATTCTGCCACAGAGCGCACGGTCGGAAAAATGGAAAATCAGTTCGGGTGAAAATTTTAGAGAAATAACGTCACAGCTACGCGATTACGCCAAAATTGAAGAGGAAGTATGTGAAAATTTTCATTGTAAAAATAATAAAAAAAAAAAAATGCAAGCTTGCAAAAGTAATTGTAACACAAATCTTACATAATATACGGTAAAAAAAAACGATAAAAACTCTATAAGGAAAACTACTTGAGCCGGAAATTGAGTTTAAATAGAAATTTGTTAAATTTTCTACAATTTAAATTTAAATTTCAACAGAGGAGCCAAGCAGAAAATTGTTTCGCGTTTTTTCACATTGAAAAACATTGAAAGGAATATTTAATTTTCTACCTGAAAAAAAAAACTAAAAATTACTACAAATCGTGAAATAGTTCTTGCATTACGCGAAGTGAGTTGATTGCGCAAACGTTTTTTACTATGCCATCCTTAAGTTTTTGAAAAAAGAAAAAAAAGAAATTTTTTATGCATTTAAGTGAGTACTGAAATTTCATGCTGTTGGAAAAACTTTGCATAAAATTAGCGAAACTGGAACGAAAACGAGAATAGTAGGTACAATCCATCGATATCGCGTTTCGCAGTGCCAAATACCTCTCCTTGCGCTACTTCTGGGCTTCGCTGGCATACCAGCACTGAAGATAAGCAACGTGAAGGAAGAAGTATTCGACTAAAACGACCAGCATACGGTGCACCGTACACAGTTACCATTGTAGCTGCTATTTTGTGTACATTGCAGTGCACATTTATACTAAGTAACTGCCAGGTGGAGGCAGCATTCCTGCCACTGTCGTGGCGCTCCCCCGGAAATGAAACAGGCAACAACATCCTGCGCCATTTAATTGTCGTCGCCGTCGTCAACGCCACCTTCCACAACGGACAAGTATCTGCCGATAGAGCCGCCAGTGCTGTTGTCATAATTCACCTGGACGGTTTTCAGCATTGAAGGACAATAGCTTACTCCCAGCGTTTAAAGGTAGCACGTAAAACTTTTATAAAAAACTTACTTTCAAGCTCTGATTATTTTAAAAACGCAGAGTGCGTTTGTGTACTTGGCTAGTTATTTACTTACTCGTACATACACATGTCTGTAGGTTTCTTAAATATTAGATATATGGGCAAGTGGCACAGTGTTGTTCTTTTAAAAATTAATTACCGCCGCATAGACAAAGATTGCTCATTGGCAAATAATAACCAATAACAACATCAGACAAATATACTATATAATGACGAAACGCAAACATACGTACATATGTATGTACATTGCACGAAACTGTAACGAAACAAAAGAAAATGCAGAATTGATAAAATCTGCCAGAAAACTAATGCAAAATATATACTACATACATATGTATGCATGTACATATCTATGTACATATGTATGTACACTCATAGCAAAGGCAGAGAAGCCACGAGAACAACACAGACAGAGTGCAGGTAAAACGTGAATAAATAACTTTAGCAAATAAACAATGAGGAAAAATTGTTGTATAATAACACAGCTATTTACATGCATACATATGTACGTACATACATACATGTGTAGTATACGAACATCTAAAGACTTTACTAGGTGTTAGATCAATTTATGTAGTAGTCGAATTATTTTCCATAAAGTGATTTAAGATCTTGCCGTTGCCCTCGGCAGCACTGTAGCTGGGCTGCGAAATTCAAACTGCCCTAAATAAATGTTGGTCGTTTATATAATTTACCTACGTACATACTACATATCGTTACCTTAATATAGAAAGGCCCTAACTCATTTTCATTTCGAATCCAGATTTATACCAAATCAGTCAAATAGCTCACAATATATGTAATAGAAACTTGAAACAAATATTACAGCGTTGCACAAAATATTATGTTTAATAAAAACCAGTAAATCGACGAAATTCGCAACTGTAGAACTTTTTCAAACTATATTTGAACGAACACAAATGTGAGATAGAGCCTTTCTAAATTAAGTTAACGATATGTAGTTACTCCATATTAGCAATGTAAACTTTTTTAATGAAAATATCTGCTTAATTGCATTTTGTCCAAAAATATTATTCATATAAACATTGTAGGCATGTACATATGTATATGTATGTAAATGTTATACTTGCACATACATACATTCATATATCACTGCAAATTCTCTACTTTTTCTCATGTGTATGTAAATTACTGCCTAATCGTAAGTGTTGCCCTATTTTCATAGCCCCAACTGCTACGATTTTGATGCTCCAATTATAAAGTACAAATACCAGAGCAGTTCAGACGCTCTCACTGAACACAATAGCCAAAATTTAAACCCTTAAGCCAACGATACACGTACGTCACGTGCACAAGTAAAAAGTACATTCCTACACGTTTGTACATACATATGCATAGATACAGTAGGTGGAAAAATGAGGTTGTCAACTTAGGCGTAGAAAATTTAACAAAGCTCATGGATTCAAGATACGCTTTATTTTATCATATTTCGAAACAATGGGAACTTTAATAGCTCACGAAATTGCCCGGTGCTAGCCGTCCAAATCAAGAAGTTTTAAAGTAAGACCCCATATTTTTGTCCTTTTCCCTGTAAGCTTTCTGTTGAGTAAAAATAGTTCGAAATTTTATGTTCCTAGCTGCATAAATGGCGGGGTTATAATCAAAAATCTGATATCTGAACAATCAAATGAATGGGTACTATATATTATAGTGGTCCGATTTTGGCGGTTCCGACAAATGACTAATATATCATAGAGTTTCAGTCGGATATCTCGAAAACTGAGGACTAGATTCCGTTCAAACAGATAGACATGGCTAGATCGACTCAGCCCAACGTTCTGATAATTTAAGTACATATATATTTCCATGGGTCCATCTCTTTTTCTTCTGGTGCTTACAAACATCGGAACATAGTTATGCTACCATTTCATGTTGTATGAAAGGTATAAATCAAGATAATACTACCACGAAGACTGTCCCGTGCATGTATGTTGATACAGTCAGCGTCACAAAAATTTATACCCTGACGTTTTAACGATTTTATTTATGTATACTTATTTTCCATACGAAATTTTTCTTAAATATTTATAAAAATATAGTTCATTCAACGGCAAAAACCAGCAGAATATTTTTTTTTTTTTTTTAGTTTCATATAGAACTCGGGAAAATTCATTAAATACTAAAAAATTTTCATCGACATTTTCAACTTATCAATTAGTTTAAAAATAGTTTTTGTTCATGCGTTATTTGGAAGAAAATGCGCAACATGCTTGACAAAAAATTGTCAAAAATCAACGGTAATTTTTAGCGACTTGAAACTTACACATTATTATACTAAATAGCTACTAATGAGCTACAAAATTGCATATTCAAAGTCGGATTGAAAAGTTGAAAATTTTGATTAACATTTTTTTGGTATTTCTTGAATTCTGTAATTAAGAAAAATTTAGTTTGAAAAATACAAATAAATAAAGTCGTCAAAACGTCAGGGTATTCATAGTTTTGACGCTGACTGTATATGTATTAGACTATGCAAATGATTATCCAACCAAAACTGCTCCAAAAATTGTATATCAGATAACCAAAGGTAGAAAATTTTGCTTAATAGGCTCGTGATATTTTGACAAATTTTTGTTTATTTTAAATTTTAGTATAATCATGAGCAAGTTTCAGGTTGGTAAAAAATCTCGTTAATTCTTGAATTTCTTTTTGTTGGCAATGGGCCGTATGCATAAAAACTAAGCTTTTACTCCAAATTTCATACCTTTCAGTTATGGTGATTTCGTTTCTACCAAAAAATACTGTATACACTCTACTCTTGAGTGTAGGATGGTCGTAAAGGCTATACTAGGAGCAGCGTTTGGAAGCGCATAGTTCACCAATCCGGGAAGCCCCGAAAACTACGTTAGTATCCTACCCTGACCGTAATTAGTGTTTGACCATTTATTTGGAACGTCCATTCGAATTGCTGCACCGCTTGTGGCAAATAGGCCATGTTCTACCGGAAGAAAATTCAGTAGGGCATACAGTGCCCTAAATGGAGTTGTTCTCGTCTGACCTGTTATAAGTGTGGACGCAAATTGTTCCATATTTTTATAGCTATAATAGTATAATGATCTTTTAATTGTGTGCACTAGGGAGTGGGGTGCTGTTTCATATGATCTTCCCTTACTGTAGGCATGCTGGGATCCCGAGTGTTTGATGCTCACCTGGTCTCTGATATGCCATTCTGCTAGTCGCTGAAGGGAGTTGAGCAAGAAAGACCAAAAAATAATCGGGTTTAAGTCTTTTTTTCCCCTACCTTGGGAATGAAAACTACTTTTACCTTATCCCATTTGTGGGTCGTAACGCTGCCTCAAAAAAGGGTACGAGTATGGGTGCAATCATTTCCGCTTTATGCTGCAGATCAGCGGGAATAATTCCGCCAGGGTCCCGGGCACTTATACGATTGGAAGCTGCTAATAACACGTTTTATGTTCTCCTCGTTGATAATATGTAATCGCTGGGAGGTCATCATTGTTGCGTGCGAGTCGAGTGTTGGTGATTTTACTGCGGAGGCCACGCGGAAAGTGCGTTCATGTTAGAAGCTCTTATGTTTCTTTGTTGGTAGTTGTCCAAACACCATCTTCCTTGATGAGATATCCAACATAGCTAGGCCTGATTGATAGTATTTTACGTAGTCTGCTGGCCTCTGAAGTAGAGATGCGCGCGTAAGGAAATTTAAAATCACTCACGCGTAATCGCGCTCATAAACCAAAGAGTTTTTTTTTTACTTTTGCAGGACTTAAGGTATACAGTTTGTATTTATTTATTTAGTCCTGTAAACTAATTATTGGTTGTCTTTCGCGTGTAGAGGAACTTTGTTTAATTTAAAGCAGTTTACCCTTTGCTGCGTGCCAGAATGCTTGCTAAATTTTGCAGCTAACTAGTGGCCGCAGTAGTGTAGTGGCATTCAACCATGAAAGGCAGCTTCTCATAAGTGCAAATTTTAAGTTACTAAAAATTCGCGTTGATTTTTGGCAATTGTTACACTAATTTTCTTCCATACAAAATTTGTTCGACAATTTATTTGTATTTTTTCCATCCAAAAAAATTGTCAAATACATATACTTTGTATGGAAGAAAATGTGCGAAAAAAATTCCAAAAATTAACGCAATTTTTTAGCAATTAAATCTGATTAAAAGTTGAAAATTTAGGTGAAACTTTGAAGAATGTTTATAATTTTTGCATAAAGCTTACCTAACTTAACCTAACCTAGATAATGAGCTGTTTTATAGAAAAATAATAAATATTAAATAAACAAAAGAAATAGGACCAAAACTGTTCAAAATAAGTCGTTTCTATTATTCTGGCCATGGGTGTATGCTACCGGATTACTCTGGACCTTTTCGATAATTTGTTTTTATTGGAAAGACGACACCTCAAGGTTGATACCATATAAATTTGGTTTTGTTGCGATCATTAGATCACGAAGAAACTAACGGTACTCTTATAAATTTTTATATGAGCATTGAAGTCTGCCGTTTTTTATTAAAAATTAAGTAGTACTGGTTTTTCGATGCGAATATCCGATATCCGAATAGCAACACATTATTCGATTATCCGGATAGTCGCAAAATACTGACAGAACTCCCAGCCCTACGTAGCGCTACTTCTTAATCACCCCTTGGATAAGCAGAACGTGGGATTATGGTAAATTTTTTTTACTCATGCTTTGTGTATACATGCACAATTTTTCTTATCCCATGTCCTTTTAATTGGCACAACATGCGCGTATGCAATGTAAATTCCTTCGCTGGCTTGAACATATGCATGCATGTTTGTAATATGTATGTATGTATTTAGGAACCAGTGTTGCCACCCGGGGGAGAATTCCCCGATTTTGGTGGAATTTGAATTTCTCGGAGGAATCGGGAAATGGCTTAAAATTTTGGGAGAACTCAATATACAAACGATTTTTTTTTATTAGAACTTTTCTATTACTAATAAAATTACAA